CTCTGTCCGCGTCCCTGCGCAGGCGCCGTGAGCCAGTCTGGCTTTGTTGATGCTTGAGTGAACACTAACCTGTGCTCTCATTCAAACATTTTGCGATTAATTCATTGTGTTTAGTGCTTGTGGGACTGTGAAATAAGCTACCATGGGCCCAAAGAAACTTGATAGTGGTACCCCTGTGGTAAAGAAAGTGAGAAACACCATAGGTGTGAAGAAGGAAATAATACAGAAATATGAGTGGTGTGAAACTTGTTGAGATTGCCAGGATGTATGGAAAAAACAAGTTGACCATCGCTTCTATCCTGGCAAAGAATGAACAAATCAAGGAAGCTGATGTTGTGAAAGGTGTTAATATGCTAACCAAAAAAGACCACAGACAATCGATCAGGTTGAGAAGTTGTTGCTGAAGTGAATCAAGGATAGTGTTTCAGAGATGATTATTTGTGAAAAGTTCAGTAACAAAACCATGTCCCATTTTAGGGAAATCTTAAAGAGGCACCAGAAACAGAGGATGTGGACAGTTATTTTGTGAGACCGGGGCCCAGTGACTCTCAAGCTGGTCCTAGTGGCATTAAAAGACAGAGAAGGGAAGTAACCCCAAACACTAACCCCAACTCCCTCTCTTCCAGATGCCATCACCAATCTTCAATAAATGTAAGTAAAAATGTTATTTTATATGTTATTTAAATTGATTAATACATAATTGTACACTATATTTGTTGTGTGTATGTAAAACTATAATTAATCTCTATAAAATGTATTTTTTTTTTTGTGAATATTTTTGGGTTTCTGGAACGGATTAATTGTATTTCCATTATTTCTTACGGGAAATATTGCTAAGCTTTTCAAACTTTTCGAATTTAGAACTAGCTCCTGGAATGGATTAAGTTAGAAATTTGAGGTTCCAATGTATTATTAATTAGTACATACGTATTCTTATAATAATACTCTTGCTTACCATTTGGAATTTTTATTCACACAAAAAATAGAAGAATACTGTTACACAGCCTACTGCATTATTGTAATACAGCCTCTTCTCACTTAGCGGTACACTCGTTTGCCAGCGACTTGGACTTATGATGGGCTCTCTGACCAGTATGCATACCAAAATAATGTATATTAAAGCTGATTTCCTCTATTCTGTTTATTACAATATACAGTACACTACTGTATAAATATTTAAAAATATTCCAGAAATGTTATAAATAATGCAAAGGTGACATTAAAACAATATCAAAGATGAATGACACAAATCCACTACCATTATAGTATGCTCCTCACTTACCGATGAATTTGTTTACCGATGGGGTCTTAAGAATGGAACTCCATCATTAAGTGAGGAGAGGCTGTAATTGCATAAATAATGTCAACCCATTCGTGACTGCGTATGAGATTGGCCAGGTGGACTTGTATTGGATGGTGACGTCATTTGTTTACTCTTGAACATCGCCAAAGAATCAAACATTTCCACTACTTTGAGCTCAATTTCAAGGTATTTTTCATTGTGAAAGCAATCAAAATCATATCTATTTCTGTAATATAACCTCCATTCTATCAAATTAAACAAAAAAAAATAAGAATACAACTAATGGCTGAGAAGTGAACTCCGTTATTTATGGTCCGATTTCTTTCAATTTTGGTGTACGTTAAGAAGCAACTTTCCATCATACATAGCCCAAGTTTCAATAAGATAGTCCAACAAACAACTGAGATCCAATTTCCTAGATCAAGAGCAAGAGTCCCTCACCAGCATCAAGGAACCTCCATTGAGGCTCGCTGGCATCTTGAAATTTCGCTTGCATCTGAAAGCAAAAAACTGACCAAGTGACTGCTCATATCTTGAAAAACTTGCACATTGGGGCACTGGTAAGCAGAGGTTCCACTGTATTTCTAGACAATAGTAAATGACCAAGGCAGGTGAAAATATTCACCTGTCAGTGTGTTTGTGACTATTTGAGTACAATTTCAGTACCTAATATTAGTGTCAGAACAAAGATTGGCTATGAAATCACAAGAACTACTATAAATTGTAATTATCACTACATAAAAATTATATAAAATAACATAAAAAGGAGGTGAGCATCCAGAACCAACTTCGCGGTTTTATATCTCGGTAAGTACTGGTCCTAATTTTTTTTGGTGTTGTTACACACAGAAAATTGCCCTCTTTTAATTAAAAAAAAAAAATTCAAAATATTTGAAGCACTGGGTGAGAGAATGTAGATCTATGTTTCGACAGTTAATGGGATAGCCCTTTCAGGATTTCCGACATACTAGTATGGCTTACACGCCAGGGTTTTTGACGTACTAGTATGCCTAAATTCTAGCACCCTCAAATCTAGTGAGAGAAAGCTGGTAGGCCTACATATGAAAGAATGGATCTATGTGGTCAGTGTGCGCAGTATAAAAAAAATTCTGCAGCACACAGTGCATAATGAGAAAAAAAAAACTTTGACAGTGTTTTTGGTTTAAAACAGCGACTTTGCACTGTATTTTCGTATGGTATTTATGATGGTATTCTAGTTTTCCTGGTCTCATTTTATAGAATGGAAGACATAATACAGAAATTGAGACGATTTTGATTGGTTTTACAATGAAAAGTACCTTGAAATTGAGCTCAAAGTAGCAGAAATCTTCGATTTTTGCCGAAGTTCAAAAGTAAACAAATCATGCTATGCATCCAATACATGTCAACTGGTGAGTCTAATATTCTTTCACAAGTGCGCTGATATTATTTATATCATTTCTACACTAATGCAGTAGTCTGCATAACAGTAAATCTTCTATTTTTTGTGAGAATAAAATTTCAAAGTGGAAAGCAAAAGAATGTAAGAGGGGCGTGGGGACATGACTAATGGACAGAGGAAATGTTATTTTAGTTCCAGAAATGCCTTTCTTGTTTATTCTGGACCCTATTTGGAAATTGGCATCTTTTGAAATTTGTGTGAAATTGCCAAATTGCTAAATTACTGGATAATTGAAATCGGTAAATGGGTGGTTTCTTGTACTCATCGATAGAAAAAATAGAGTTCTAGTGAAATAGTTATGATTTTTGTCGACTAGTACATTGGAATTGGCCGAAAATAGGGCTCAAAGTGGGCGAAATTGCCGATGCGTAAACATTGTCGAGACCGCTAACTTTGCAAGAACATAATTCCGTAAGTTTTCCATCAAATTTCATACTTTTGGTGTCATTATGATCGGGAAAAGATTCTCCATCTTTTCACAAGAAAAAATATTTTTTTTTTTTTTTTTGAAAATTTGGCGACCCTGAGAACAATTCTGGGAGAGGGCCTGTTGACCCTGAAAGGGTTAAGTAGATTTTTCATCTAAGACAGAAAAGGCAGGCTGGATGCTTTTCTATAAAGACTGTTCCTTCAACTGTAATTTTCAGTGGAAAAAATTGTCTTGGGTAAAAATCTAAGCTAATTTCATGATGGATAAAAACATAAGTGTAGCTCAGTGGTAAGAGCATTCTGTTGACAACTGCAAGAACCCAGATTCACTTCCTTACACCTGCTGTTCCCGGGAAGGAATGGTATAAAATAACTACATAGTGGATAAAGACAGTTGAAATACAGCAGGGCCCCACTTTACAGCATTTCAATATACGGCGTTCCGCTAATACGGACATTTCAAATTAAAACTTGCTATATGGCTCCCCTCACCTGCCTTTCTAATACGATCACAGCGCCTCACCCAGTTTGTTTACATTCTCCATGAGCACTTCTCTATTATGTCTGGAAACTTTCCAAAATTTTAAGTGTTTTAAGGTTACTGAATATTTTATATGTACTCTCATAATTATACTATGTGTACCTATACCTAAATATACATACTGTGCTGGCGTGCAGGTACACATTAAAATTACTAAGTCTCTCTCTACTCTTGAAGATTCCATATTAATAAACAATAGTAATAATAATAATAATAATAATAATCTCTTGGGTGCCTTGGGCACATTAAATGTTGTATATTACGCTAATATAGACATTTCCATATAGCAGCATATGTGTAGAGAACCTAGGATAACCCAAAAAAGTCAAACAAAGTGACTTATTGGTGACATGGAAAACCTTTTACACTGCCACTCACCTCTCACACATTCATATTAATATTTTAAGGTAAGTAACAAGTGTACTGTGTGTGTGTATTTTACTTTTAATTGTAATTTTTAATGCCTAGTTCTATTGATAACTTAATATATGTTAGTGTAAACTTATTTAGCATTTATATGCATTTCCTCTTTATGGCAGTAGCCTGGAACCTAACCTGCAGTATAAGTGGGGTCCTACTGCATAGTATAATACAGTTCTTTATTACCAATGACTCACAAAACCGTAACAACACAATTACGGTACAGGTGGGGACTGAACTCACGGCGAGTGAGCCATAAAACTCCAGACTGACCCATTAGCCACTGGCTAAAGCGTTGGTCTGGAGTTTTACGACTCACTTGCCATGAGGTCAATTCCCACCTGTACCATGGTTTCTTTATTACCAATGTTTTGTCCACACAGTGGGCTTTATCAAGTCACAAACAGACTTGATAAATTCGACTGTGGGCAAAACATTGTCAATAAAGGATTGCATTGTACTACATTAATGTCTTTATCCACCTGCTGTTCCTATTTCCCTAAACGTAAATATATACATAGGAGCATCAGCTTGTCAATTTATTAACTGCGGTTCGTGCCCCCCTCCCCCCATCCATCCCTCTGTTTATTCATATACATACAAGTTAGTTAAGTGTTGTAAACCACATTCTAAGTGAAAGACCCTAAGAACCACATTGCAATTAAGCAACACCACATTACTTTCTTGGATTATCCTGGGTTATTAAACCTTTGGGGGGTCTATAATCTGAAATAATCTGAAAAAAAAAAAAAAAATTCACTGTTACAGGCACTACCATCATAAAACATAATCCCTTTCGATTTGTGTTGAATAAACTGGAGCGATTAAATGCAATTTGGGTATAAATGCAGCTATTATTCTCTTACCTGTGAACCATTGGGATCAATGGATGGTTGGTTAAGGAAACCTTTCTTAGGGTCACGTCTCCTGGTGGCACGGATGCAGATCATCCATACAAGAAGCACAATGAGTATCAGGAAGACAACAGCACCAGCAATGCCTCCAGCAATATATGTGAAGTCACTCTTAATCTGTCATTACAGAGTTAAATATAGTATTAAGTAAATATAATGGCATTCAGGTTTTTATTATGGGCTTCAGACAATTATCTCAGCAATAATAAAAAAAAGATATTTTCATAAGTTTTACAGTCCTCTGCATTACAATCAGAAGTTGAAACAGTCATACTGCATTATAGTAATCAAACATATCAGTAAAACTGTTTATTATAAGCCTACATCAATTCACTGTTGGATTAAGACCTTGTCAAAGTGCATTCACTACCCTCCTGTCGTGAGAACTTGTTTGGTACACCCTGAAAACATTAACATCAGGGTAATCTACACTTACCTGGCATTTGCTACCTGTGAAGGAACCAGAACAAACACAATAGGGTTCATCATCTTCATTCTTCTTACAAGCACCATTATTCTCACAATAGCCATCACACTTGTCTGAGTAAACAAAACACATTATTATTAACACTGTTGTTAGTAAATTTTGGTGTTCAATTCATCCATTCATAAAATGCAGGTAGCTGAACCAATATAATTTATTTGTAACTGACCATTTCTTTATTGGCAACTTGTCTCATTGTACTTATGATAATAATGAATTACCCAAGCTGTACTAACTTAAATTTTATTCTAGTTCTAGATATCAGTATCAAGTAAGCCTTATGATTAGTTTGCCAAAATGCATTTGCGTATCTTCAGAGCCTTAACCCTTTGACTGTTTCGGTCATACATATATACATCTTAAGAGCCACCGTGTTTGACGTATACATGCTAAAAAATTCTAGCGGCTACAAATCAAGCAGGAGAAAGCTGGTAGGCTCACATGTGAGAGAATGGGTCTGTGTGGTCAGTGTGCACCATATAAAAAAAATCCTGCAGCACGCAGTGCATAATGAGAAAAAAAAAAACTCTGACCGTGTTTTTGGATTAAAACACCGATTTTGCAGTGCATTTTCATATAGTATTTATGGTTGTATTTTCATTTTCTTGGTCTCATTTGATAGAATGGAAAAGATATTATAGAAATAGCAGTGATTTTGATTGGTTTTACTATGAAAAGAACCTTGAAATGGAACTCAAAGTAGGAGAAATGTTTGATTTTTGCCAATGTTCAAAAGTAAACAAATGTTGTCATTGTCCAATAAATGTCCAACTAGCCATTCTAATATGCAGTCATGAATGGGTTGACATTATTTATACAATTATTACAATATTGCAGTAGTCTGCATAACAGTAAATCTTCTATTCTTTGTTTGAATAAAAATTCAAAATAGAAAGCAAGAGTAATATCAGAGGGGCCTGGAGATGTGACTGATGAACAAAGAAAATGTTATTTTAGAGCCAGGAATGTCTGCAATGTTCATTTTGAACCCTATTTTGAAATTGACATATTTTTTAATTTGTGTGAAATTGGCCAAATTGCAAATTTTTGACCACGTTATTGGGTAGCTGAAATCGATAAATGGGCAGTTTCTTGTACTCAGTCGATAGAACAAATGGAGGTCTAAAGAAGTAGCATTGAGATTGGTTGACTGGAACATTGGAATTAGCGAAAATAGGGCTCAAAGTGGGCAAAATTGCCGATTCGTAAATATCGCCAAGGTCGCTAACTTCGCGAGAGCGTAATTCCATAAGATTTCCATCAAATTTCGTTCTTTTGGTGTCATTACCATCAGGAAAAGATTCTCTATTATTTCATAAGAACAATTTTTTTTTTTTTTCAAAAATTTTTCGACACCAGGAGACACCTCAGGATTTGGGGTTGCAACAGTCAAAGGGTTAAATTGCATCAAATGATATCTATATTATATGACCAAACTCTATACGTAATCATTTTGAATGTATAACAACTGTATTTTTATGGTTTTTTAGAAATTGATATTAATTTTATCTTTTTACATACAAGATTCCAGTTTTAACAGGTTAAATTTTAATATATAAAATAAATTTTGTGTTAACAAATATTTAAGAGCAAGTTTACTCACTAGAACAATGTTCTCCTGAGCCGTTGAAGCCAGGTTTGCACTGACACTCAAAGTCATTAGATTCAGAGATAAAAAGACAGAGAGCATTAGGGTCACAGAGCATCTGTTCTCCATGAACCTCACAGGGGTTGGAGCACTCCTGAATTGAGGTCGCACCAACATCGTGAGTTGAAGTATCTTGTGGACAATCTATACATGACGTTTGCATTGCTTCTGGTTGATAGGTACCTTTAGGACATTTCAGACAGTTATATACGGTGTTCAAATTAGAAAGGAATGTTCCAGCAATACATATTGGTAATGAGCATTCCTCTACAGAGGATGCACCGGGTCCTAGAGTGGTACGATCTGCTGGGCAGCGGATACACGATGCATGAATACCCTTGGTACGGTATGTTCCACGTTGACAAGGTTCACATGGACCAGTTGTGCCAAGCTGGAGGCCTGATTCACATTCTTCACGACATTCAGATGCTGATACGGCTTCTTTTGTGCGAGTGGTAAGGCCTCGGTCACACCTCTTGCATGAGAATTTACCCTCTTCAGACTGATAATATCCATATCCACAAGACCGACAGACACTCATTTCTTCATCAAAGTATCTGCCAGCTGCACATCGTTCCTGACAGTTTTCAACTGAGCGTGACCCCGAGGTCTTTGTAACACCCTGACGACCTGCACGCTGAGGGCATGGCTTGCAAGCAACCTGACCTATCTCATTCTGATATGTGCCAGACTTGCAGAGTTTGCATGACTTTGTCTCAGTATCATAATAAGTTCCTGTAGCACAGTCTACACACTCGCTATCAACCACAACCTGTAAAGTGTATTTTAACTTTTAAAATCCTTCTTCCTTATTATTTTTATGAATAGTATTGCATCTTCCACATTATGGTAAGATATATTTAGCTCAAAAATTTTTATGGTAAATGAATTTCTGCATTTAAAAAATGCCAACAACAAACCTTTCCAATAGGGCATGAATATTCTGATTTAAGGTCTAATGAGGATGGGTCTGGGACAACATTGGGCAGAGCATCACGAACATCAAATTGATCCTGCTCTAAAATAACTCCTTCAATCAAACGACGGACAGTTGATTCCAATTCTGAGTTTGAGTTCTGGACTGGATCACTGTTGAGTAATTCAAATCATCAGCCTTTGACATACAAGGAATGTGTTAAACTAACTACTCCATCTTAATGATATATTATGAATAAGTTTCACATCTTGTACTGTACAATAAAAGTTACATTTCCTTATAGAGATTCAGATCACTTTCAAAAATTATGAATAAAACTGTTAAGATAGTGATGATAAATTAAAGTATTTGAGACAGTAAGAACACGATAATGTAACCTGTAAGACAACACACCTGACATCAGATTTTATTGATTTTTATGTATGTATACTATTACCATAATAAATAAATAAATTATATATATATTATTTATTATATTAACACATTGGCCATTTCCCACCAAGGCAGGGTGGCCCAAAAAAGAAAAACTTTCATCATCATTCACTCCATCACTGTCTTGCCAGAGGCATGCTTACACTACAGTTATAAAACTGCAACATTAACACCCCTCCTTCAGAGTGCCAGCACTGTACTTCCCATCTCCAGGAATCAAGTCCAGCCTGCCGGACTTGATGTTTATTATAAAAAGTATAGGTAGCTGCACTAGTAGAGATGCACTAAAGGAACTCATGCTAGCACTGCAGCTAATGAAATATTTAATAATAGGTTTTAATGCTATTTTCAGATATTTTACAAGTTGTCATGTTTACTGGTACATTATATAAGATCAAATTTATGTGGCAAGGCAATACATAACATACTACTGTATAAAATACAACAAAATAAAGATAAGAAAGAAAACACATACTAAAAGATATATGATGATGCTGTGTAACATTTTCAAGCAATGTTTATATAAAATAAGCCATGTATGTTGTATTTAAATATGAATAATTATAAATAAAACCACATACCAGAACAATTGGCAATAAAGTAACTTGTTTAATACTACTGTGACTACCCACTAACCTTAGAAGCACTATCCTCCATTACCAACCATGTCCCACTGACTAAATGCTTGGCTATTATTAGTTTAATGTATATTCTCATTATAAAACATTGCCTCACAAGCTTTAAAACTTCGCTTACTCAATTAAGATCCTTTCCTGTTGAAGATTTTTTTTTTTTTTCAGAATCAAGCAACCATTTTCAAAAGCAAAGCATGTAGCCCCCATAAGCTGCAAGTGAATGTTTGAATGTGACAGTTTCTGCGATTACACAACAGCATACAGTGAGTTTAGTATTTTCAGTTATTATTGAAATTACTACACAGGTAGTTAATGATGGGTCATTACCAATGGTGGCATTTACAATAATCTTACTTCTTGGCAGGGAAAGAAACTTTCAGGTTATACTGGTAAGCCTGATCTGTGTCCCTCTTCCATCGTAGCTTGCTGGGGAAGGAGCTTCATTAAGGGTCAAGGATGGATGGTCAATACTCATGTCTCATACTCATATTCATTATTTACTTTAGAGAACTGTATCACTGAAATATTCCTGTCATGATTGATTTAACTTATTTTCCTGCAGGGTTATGAGTTATATACTTACTGGAAAAAGTGTTTAAGAGCAAAAAATATTTGTGATGCTTTAATAACAGTTATTTTCAAGCACAGATCTAATATAATGTAAGCACAATGAGCTGTGAAATACCCTCTTTTATCCTTTTTTATAAGATCCTCAAGCATGTCTTAATGTATTGTGCTTAGGGTACACAAATAAATATATGAAGTCAAACAATAAGAGGCCACTTGATTAAGACAAGGTTGTTTGCCTAGTTATCAGTACAATAATGTATTTACCTGACTTGGGTGATTTTCCAGTGGACAGGAAACCTGTGGCTTGTGCTGTGTCTCACATTTTATTAGATGATTTTTTTTCTAGGGAAACTATGTGTTATGGCACAATTAGTTGGTATATCACTCCTTATTTTGCTACTTTCTGGGAGAAGAAATTTCTAGTGTCTGCTGTGCAGTAGGTACAGTTTGAAAACCTTTTAAGTTGATGTTCTCAATCATGAGATGTCATGTTTAAGAGTAATGTGTGGCCTGAATATCATGTCAAAGCAGAGTGCAGAAATTAAAAGGGGATGTGGGGGGGTTGCCAAGGGTATAATTCAGAAGGCTGAGGAGGGGTTGTAGAGGTGGTTTTTGCATGGTTGTAGAGGTGGTTTTTGCATGAAGGGAAGATGGAAAGGAACAGAATGTTAGAGTTTATACAAATTGTGGGTGGAAGGTAGGAGGGGTGGGGTTATCCAGAAATGGTTGAAAGGAGAGAAAGATAAAGGAGACTGGAGTTGTTGTGGCTTGATTATCCAGCATGTGAGTGTATTAGATAGGAATGAATGGAGACAGGTGCTAGTTAATAGATGTGCTGTTGGAGTATAAGCAAGCTAACTTTTATGAAGGGATTCAGGGAAACCAGTTAGTTGGGCACGAGTTCTGGAGGTGGGAAGTACCTGCACTTTGAAGGTGGAGTGGGAATGTTGTAGTCAAAAGGGTAATATGAACTGTGATTGGTTCGCTTCTGGCCAAGAAGGAAACATCTTCACATCATTCTTTCAATCACTGTCTTGCCAGAAGTTTGCTGGCATCACAATTCATATTACCCTCTGACTGAAACATCACCATCCCTCTTCAAAGTGCAGGCACCTACAAGACTCAAGTCTGGCTAACTGGTTTTGCTGAATCCCTTCATCAAAGTTACCTTGCTCACACTCCAACAGCACATCCATAAAAAACAACTTATCTCCATGTCTCCATTCCCTTCTATCTAACAAGCTCACACAAGCTTGCTGGATGTTCAAGCCCCTAAAACTCAGGCCTCCTTTACCCCCCTGCCCTTCAATTGTTCCTACCCCTCCTTCTTTTCACCCCTGATTTTCACAATTTACACACCATCTTTATCATCCTTTCTCTTGCCATCCTCCCTACATGCCCAAACCACCTCAACAACCCCTCCTCAGCTCTCTGAATTATACTCTTGGTTACCCTACACCACCTTTTAATGTCTATGCTCCAAATTCTCTGCATGATATGCACATGATATGTTGTTCTCAAACATGACATCTCCACTGCCTTTAGTCTCTTCTTGCTGCAATATTCAAAACTCATACCTCACACTCATATAAAAGTGCTGGCACAACTAAACTCTAGTACATTTTTTTTTCCTCCATAGATAAACTTCTTTCTTTTTACAGATACTTCAACACACTATCCACCTTTTCTTACCCTCACATATTTGCCTCATCTTTTATAGACCCATCTGCTGACATGTCTGCTCCCAAATTTCTAAATCATTATATCCACTTCCTCCATATTCCCTCCCACTAATCTAATAAGTATTCTACCACTGCCTAGAATTTGTGTTACCCTTATTACCTTGCTTCTTTCAATGTTTAGTTTTAAAAAGAAATTTTTTTTAACATGTTGGCCATTTCCCACGAAGGCAAGGTAACCTAAAAAGAAAACATAATCCATGTCTTTGCAGAGGCACTCAGATACAATAGTTTGGACGTCCTTCCAAACAGCCAATATCCCAAACCCCTACTTTATAGTTCAGGCATTGCATTTCCCATTTTCAGGACTCAAGTCCGGCTAACCGGTTTCCCTGAATCCCTTCACTAAATATTACCCTACTCACACTCGAACAGCTCATCAGGTCCCAAAAACCATTCATCTCCATTCACTCTTATCTGACATGCTCATGCACACTTGCTGAAAGTAAAAGTCCCTTGCCCACAAAACCTCCTTTAACCCCTCCCTCCAACCTTTTTTGAGGACGACCCCTACCCCGCCTTCCTTCCCATACAGATTTATACGCTCTCCAAGTCATTCTACTTTGTTCCATTCTTTCTAAATGACCAAACCACCTCAACAACCCCTCTTCAGCCCTCTTGACTAATACTTTTAGTAACTCCACACCTCCTAATTTCCACACTACGAATTCTCTGCATAATATTTACACCACACATTGCCCTTAGACAAGACATCTCCACTACCTCTAGCCTCTTCCTTGCTGTAGCATTTATAACCCATGCTTCATACCCATATAAGAGTGTGGGTACTACTATACTTTCCTACATTCCCTTCTTTGCCTCCATGGATAACGCTATTTGTTTCAACAGATACCTCAACGCACAGCTCACCTTTCTTCCTTCATCAGTTCTATGGTTAACCTCGTCCTTCATAAACCCATCCACTGACAAGTCAAATCCCAAATATCTGAAAACATTCACTTCTTCCATCCTTCCTCCCTCCAGTGTGATATCCAATTTTTCTTTATCTAAATCGTTTGATACCCTCATCACCTTACTCTTATCTATATTCACTTTTATTCTACCTTTACACACCCATCTATAAATATGTTAAACAGCCATGGTGACATTACACATCCCTGTCTAAGATCTACTTTACTGGGAAGTAATCTCCCTCTCTCCTACACAACCTAACCTGAGCCTCACTATCCTCATAAAATCTCTTTACAGCATTTAATAACTTACTACCTATTCCATACACTTGCAACATCTGCCACATTGCTCCCCTATCCACTCTATCATATGCCTTCTCTAAATCCATAAATGCAATGAAAACTTCCCTACCTTTATGTAAATACTGTTCACATATATGCTTCAATGTAAACACTTGATTTACACAACCCCTACCCATTCTAAAGCATCCTTGTTCATCTGCAATCCTGCTCTCTGTCTTATCTCTAATTCTTTCAAATAATAACCATTCCATACATTTTACCTGGTATACTCAGAAAATTTATTCCCCTATAATTTTTACAATCTCTTTTGTTCCCCTTCCCTTTATATAAAGAAACTATACATGCTCTCTGCCATGCATTTATTAAACAAAAATACCAACCACTCCAACACTATATCCCCCCCTGCTTTTAAAATTTCTGTCATGATCTTGTCAGTTCCAGATGCTTTACCCCCTTTCATTCTATATAATGCCTCAGGCACCTCCCCCACACTCACATCCTGCTCTTCTTCACCCCTAAAAGATGTTATACCTCCCTGGCCAGTGCATGAAATTACTGCCTC